ATGGACTTGTTGAGCTTGCACACCCTGCCCGTACCATCCTCATACCCAGGCGGCTGCGTCATGTATACATCCTCCTCTAAAATCCCATTGAGGAATGCCGTTGAAATATCCATCTGAATGATGAATTTCCCACTAACGGCTGCATCTGCCAACAAGACACGGAGGGTAGGGGGTTTGGCAGTGGGAGCAAAGATCTCGTTGAAGTCCTGTTTCTCCTTCTGCATAAACCCCTTCGCCACCAGCCTACTCTTGTAGATGGTGACCTGCCCCTTGTCATCGGTCTTGATCCTCAGCACCCACTTGCATTGTATCGCTTTCTTCCCATCAGGCAGCACCACCAGATCCCATGTCCCATTTTCTAGCAGGCTCTGGTATTCAGCATCCCTAGAAGCCAGCCATTTGTCCCTATCTGGTCCAGCTAGTGCCTCCTCCATGCTAGCTGGTTCCTCTGGTGCAGGGGCAAGAAAACAGTACGCAGGCTCGTCCTCCTCATCCGGGTCATAGCCATGAGGTAGAATCAGCATTGCCTCCTCGGTCCCAAGCTGCTGCTCCGCTACACCTGATCCTGCAGTCAGCTTCTTAGTAGCCATACGGGTACGTCCTGGCCTGGAGACGGGTGTCTCCCATCCCCTCATAACGATACCCTTCGGCTTCTTAGTTTTCCCCTGCTGCTGCTCTCCTCCCTCAGATCCAGCAGCTCCACTAGTGCTGCCGCCAGTTTCCACACCATTTTCTCCACCAGCAGATGCCTCCTGTACCTTCTCTCCATCACCATTCCCCACAGCTGCCTCCTCTCCCTCCTCCCACACACTAGGAGTCAGGTCCAGCTGCATGGTGATCTGCTCCATCTGCTGGGACACCCGGGCCTCCGGCTGTTTCTCCCAGCTCCCATACATCATGCCCTCAATGAATTTCACATCCCTGCTGTCAAACAACACACCCTTGGATGGTTCCCACAGCAGCCATCCCTTGCTCTCAGCAGCCAGCCCCAAATGCACACACCAGATTGCACTTGCCCCCAACTTACTGCGGTAGGTCTTAGGGACGTGGGCGACTGCCATGCAACCGAACACCCTCAGCATGTCCACCGGCGGCTTCCTCCTAAGCCACCTCTCCAAAGGCACCCACGAGTCATCCCCAACCTTGGTGAGCACCCTGTTCCTAGCGACGGTAGCGTGCCGGACAGCATGAGGCCACATAGAATTGCTCAGCCCAGATTCTATGAGCAGCGCCCTAGCTGTCTCCAGAATGGTCCGGTTTGCCCGTTCTGCTACACCGTTGGACTGTGGGGTGTAAGCCGTGGTCAGCTCTCTCTGGATGCCTTGCTTCTTGAGCCAGGCCGTCATTTCAGCTCCAAGGAACTCACCACCCCGGTCTGTCCTAATCCGCTTCACTATACACTCCGCCTGCTTCTCCACGAACGGCAGCCAATCGTCCCGTATTGTGGAGGCGGCGTGGTCCTTCTGCTTCAGTGGATACGCCCACATCAGCCTGCTCCAGTCATCCACAATTGTAAGAAAATACCGCTCCCCCTTGTGCCCTTGCACCGGCAGCGGCCCCACCAAGTCCATGTGGACCAGCTCCAAAGGCTTCTTGCTCCTGCCAGCCACACTATGGAAAGGGAAACGGGTGAACTTTGAAAGCAAACAGATTTCACAGTTGTCATCGGGTGGCTGTCCATTCAGCTTCAAACCCTTGACGGCTCCATCCTTCTCTAGCTGCTTCAATAAAGGCATTGCCACATGCCCCAAGCATCGGTGTGCCGTTGCCCAATCCGTCTCCCCAGATCTGGCCGACACTTTCACGCCAACCCCTCCAACGGCGTTGCACTCCCCCTGGGATGCAGACCCCTCTCTAGCCTGCCCCCCACCGTGCCACGCCAACGCCGGCAGCTGCCACATAGATCTGTACACGTCCTTGCTCTCGTGCAGATCCCAAAGCACCCGATTGCCCAGCTGCCCCTTGTACGTGCGAGCCCCATCCGTGCTAGTGCTCACCCCAGCCTTGGCAAGCTTACGGAGGGAGATGAGGTTGGCCTTCAGGTCGGGGACGAGAAGAACGTCGTGCAGCACCACCGGCTTGCCATCCGCTCCCTTAAACGCAGCTCGTCCCGCACCAGCCACCTTCAGCGCGTGTCCAGAGGCGGAGCACACCTCGTTAATCGGTGCAGCGCGTACGTCGTCCAGCAGGTCTTTGCGCGGCGTCATCGTCCAAGCAGCGCCCGTGTCCAACACCCAATAGTCCAGGGGTGCAGCTCTGCTCCAACCTTGGCAGAGGCGTCTCCTTGCTCCCCCTGCTCTCCAATATGGAAGAACTGGCCCGCGGTGCGCTCCTTCTTCTTCTCCGCACCACCGTTGCTCTTCGGGTTGTTGTCGGACGAATCAGCGACCATGTTGTTGACGATTCTGGGGGGTCCATCCATCGGGTTTCTTATAGCACAAAAACCAGGGGTGCCCCTCCTTCTCACAATACCAGCAACTCCCTTTCATTTTGCCACCAGCACCCGACTTGCCCCCACGTCCAGATTTCGCACCGCGACCCCAACCGGTACCTCCTTGTTGGTCGTTGGAGTCGTCGTCCTTCTTTGCACCGCGCCCAGCACCACCGAAGCCACGTCCTCTGCCACGTCGGTTCCCTTGCATCCCGTAGCCGCTGCTGCCGTCGTCTCCACCCCTCAGTTGGCGGCGACGGAAGTCCTCCTCCAGAATCTTTGTCCGCACCCACTCGAGCGTCCACGAGCTCTGGTTCTGCGGCAGGCTCAATCCGCTCGTGAATTGAAGCCACGATTCCGGCAGCAGCGAGAGCATCTTCAGGCACTTGGTCTGCTCCGGGTAGGTGATTCCCGCAGTCGCCAACTTCGCGTACAGGTCACGCATCTTGTCCAGAACTGGTTGCACCGGCTCTCCCTCGCTCAATCGCAACGCGGACAGCTCCCTCTCCATCATAAGCGTCGCGGCGACGGAGGTAGGAGCGTGCAGCTCCTTCAGCACGGTCCACGCCTTTGGACCGCAATCAACCTCCGGCAGCAGGTGCATGACGTGGTGACGCTGGTTCAGCTCCAAACTCTGCGACATCAAGTAGTAGCCAGCCGATGCGCGCTCGTCCCAATCTTCCTGCAGCGCGGGGTCACTCGGTCTAGGCTCTTCCCCAATCATTAGTTTCAGCAATCCAATCTGACGGAAGTAAAGCTGCATTTTCCAGGCCCAATCATCATAGCCCTCACCATTGAACTTCTCAACGGTGAAATTCTTCAGCACCTCCTTGATCAGCGAGCTCTGGTTGGTTCGTGCTCCCCTTGGCGCCGAAACACCAGAATCTTGGCTGCCGCTACGATCTTGGGCTGAAGATTCACCAGCTCCCGCCGAGGTGTTGCCCGCCATAGCTACCTATAACGAGGATCACTATAACGCAGCTCTGATACCAGCTTGTTGGTGTAAGGGCCTAATAAACTCAAGCTATTGAGACTTAATCAAACTTAAAACCTCTCGTCGGGGTCACCTCCAAGGGTCCCTGGGTGCCTGGTACAAGACCAGCCCCTATCCTCGGGTCCGAGTTTGTAGAGAGAGGAGCTAAGCAAGACTTGAACGTCGCGCAGCGTGCCGTGCAGACCGTCGATCGGATTAAGCTAAGAATTCGCTATAACGAAGCTCGCTCCAAGAGCTTTAAAATAAGCCAAGTTGCCTTGCGAAAAGTTCTGCCATTACGAAGTTATGGCTCCGACAGCGTTTGCCTAGCGTTGGAGTGCTAGCATACTAGCGTTGACTCGGGTAGCATTCCGCCGTCGAATAGTGCAGAAACGAAACTCCAGCGAGGAAGGAATTCGCTTGAATCAATTGACTATATTCAGGTACAAACAGAGAAGGAATATATAGTTCTAGCTAGCAAGGACCTTGGGAATCAACCTGGGAACAACCAGGGATGATCCCAAATAATTCCAAGCAACAGAACCAACCTGGCTGGACAAAATAGCAGGTGGTAGGTTGGTAAACAACCTCTGGTTCTGTTTTTCCAACCTGGGAAAACAACAACCAGGTTCAGGTTCTAAAAACAGAACCTGTTTTGTCTTTGCCCAACCAGCCAAATGCTGGTTCCGCTGGTTTCCCCTGGCCCTGTAGCATGCAGATACAGACAAACAACATCCAACCTTCACCCAAATTGTACCCCTATAGTGCCTGCCCTGCTACACTATAGTCAACCAAATAAAACAGTACAATTTCGAGTTGGATAGAACTGGATCTGCGCAATCAATTTAACCGAACCGCAAAGCTTCCATGTTGGGTTCCTTTGCGAGCTCGTCCTTTCTGCTTGCACTGTTCATAGCGCGTACAATGTTGTGCCGAAGCGCACATTGCGCGAGTACCTGCAAATGCATCAAGCGAAAATTGCGAAAGCAAACAAACACACGAACATTCCATTCACACCCAAATGCATTCGCACACGCATACTCGTACAAACAGACGGCAGGATGTTGTGCAATGTGCATTTGCACCCAACAATTTTGTGGGTAGGAAATCAACGCGGGAAATTTTATAGTGTGTACATCATTTCGTTTTTGTCCTTCTGGGTCTCCTCGTGGGTGGAGAACTTCAACGCATGTTGAACCCATGTTATAATGTAGATTCTTGTTATTTCTAATCACCCTCCTGACCTTAAGAGTACATCTTTTCTACACCTCTGAAACTAAAACGGCTCCAAAGTGGTAGTGGCAATATACCAGGGGTGTATGTTGATCGGGGACTTGGCCCCGACTTGGCGGAGCAAGTTGGTTGGTTGGCCGACCTCAGTGGAGCTGACTTCAACGGTTAGCCGACCACTGCAAAGCCAACTTTAACGAATGGCGAAGCTGACTTTGTGGTCGATGCTGACTTGGAGGAGCAAGTTGGCCTGGTTAGCCAATTTTGATGGTTAGCTGGCTACTGGGAAGTCGACCACAGCGGAGCTGACTTCGGCGAAGCTGGCCATGGCGTTGGCCGACGAAGTGAAGTCAGCGGTCGACGTAGATGTTCGTGGACAGTGCGCGAAGCCGACCTACATGGCAACATAACGTGCGCACGAGGTCGGCGTGGCACATCTGGCGCAACCGCCAGCACGTGGCCAACTTGGCACATGGGCAATGTGCATGTGTCAAATAACTTAGGAGCTTAGGTTAGGTTTAAGGTTCCTAGGAGTCATGGCGAGATTAGCAAGAGGAACATGAGATGAGAGATTGGCCAAAGAGGGTGATTCACTATGGAGCGAGAGTACAAATTCGATAAGAAAGAAACAAGCAAAGAGAGGTGCACCACCAAACAGGGTTTGTATAAACACACTAAATCTAAGCTACGGGGAGTTATAAATATACATGAAAATGTATTTTACGACACACCCCCTAACTGCCTGCAGCACACAGCTAGAGCAAGTCATACCCCCTGACGGGATACAACA